TCCTCCTTGTAATCGTCGTCGTCGTCGTTGTCGTCGTTCAATATCAACTTTATATAGTAATAATAATATATTAACGATATGCATGGCTGTGGACGCATTAATTGTCTGCTGTGCTGCAGTAGTATAGTACTCTCTCGGAGATTACCTTATATAATTTGTTATGATTGACGCCCCGCGTCGCGGAGAGAGAGAGAGACAGAGAGGTCTGCACCTCCTCATTGAATACTACGAATTGATACAGGCACGTGTGCGACATGGTGCATCATTGTGTAAACAGAAGAAAAAAAGTCGATACATTGTATTAATAACCGACGAAAGTTGCAGCATTGCCTATGTATTTCATGTACTTTTCATTCATTCTCTTTCTCTCTCTCTCTCTCTCTTTCTCTCTCTCTCTCTTTCTCTCTCTCTCTCTTTCTCTTTCGCCGATTGATAAGACCACCCGGGAGGTTGTATACGAATGCGCTTTACGAATTTTTCGTCTTTTTCGATGAGAGACGTTCTCAGACGCATTATAATATTCATCATAATGTTACGCGCGATAAGGGATGCTATAAATGAGAAAGTTGAACTTATAACTTGGCGAAAGATTTCCACTCGGATATCGATCGTCCTCGACGTCGGCACGGTTGATCGTTTTTCATTTCTTTTTGTTTTTTATTTTACGTACGTATACGCGCGCGGGAAAAAACTGCGACGAAGCTCGCGAAAGGGGCTGCTGCTGCTGCTGCGCGCGAAGTTTTCGCGCCAACGTCAGCAGTATAAACCCGCGTGCGCAAGCACCGACTACGGACGCGGGATGCGGTCTCCTCTCTTCTTTTTTATCCTGCACGTAAGAAAAAAAATACAATAAATGCAAAGCGATTTATTATAGAGACGAACTTCAAAGTCTATATCGTACGATCCGCGCTCGGTGCGAGATCTGCGTGAATAATTGGCATTTATTTACACAACGCGATTTCGTGCAATAGTTCGTAACTTTGGCTGATTGTTACAGCATGCTATTTCTCTTTCTCTCTCTCTCTCTCTATCACTGATACCCTTCAAGAAAAGCGTGTGCGCTGATTTCAGTGCGAGGGAGAGCAAAAAATTGTATACGGTAAAAAATAAAAATGAAACGAGAGAACAATGGACTTCACGGCCACGCGAGAGCTTGCGCAATTAGTGGTAATGATAATTGTAAGATCTGTCCCATTTCGAATTCGATCTTTTTGTGTATGCAACAGAAAACAACAACGATAACAACGCGTACACACGTGTCCAAAAGAACATTGCACAGCAGCGGTATTACACGCGCACTCGTCGTGCATTGCTCAATGTTTATATGTATTACAACGCAATTTACACCACTATATAAAACTATTATCAGCCTCTCCGTAGGCGACATTCTTCGGATAGATCATCGCAATTATTTATAAATAATTATATCCAAGCGAGAATAGAAGTTGAAATTGAAAAAAAAAGTAAGTAAGCAAAACTAGAGATATATAGCTGCTGCTGCTGTTACTACTACGCTCGGCAGCGAGACAGAGCGAGCGAAAAAAAAAAAATACACAGAGCGGAATAGAAAAAAATGTGTTTTATCATTACCACACGCGAGACGTTTGTATAGCATAAAATCACTATTAACATTTTTATCCCAAGATAAAGAACTAAGCGTAACTTCATCTATTTCTCTCTCTCTCTCATTATAGAGACTTTATAGAGATTATAGAGACAAAACATTTTTTTTTCATCTTTTTTGATACATAATATACATATTAAAACGCGTGCAGTCCGTTGTCTCGTCGCGTCACGTGTAGTATTCAACGCACATTACATTATACACGTAATAACAATCATATGTATACGTAAACGTATATGTATTTATATTTGACGAAAACGAGTGAATGAGCCGCCGAGACGGATCAAAAGAAGAAGGAAAAAAATGGGAAGAATTTTTATAATCGGTTCGATCGAGTTTTGATCATTTTTTTTTTCGCATCTGTGTGTGTGCATTTGTAAATAACCAGTATGCAGATATATACGCACGAGCGCGCGTGCGTATACGCATATTGCTCGTACGCGCCTGCATTTACCCAAGTGCGTAAGTATGTTGTACTTTTTTTTTATTCAAGAAGTATAAACTGATTTATTCCGCTCGGATGTTTGTGTACATAATATATATTTCACGTGCATCGACGACCGAGAGCGTTACAACTTTTTTTTTTCTTTCCTCGTATACACCACTCAGTATAGCGAGTGTAAACGAAATTTTTCCTATATCAAAGTCACATAATTAATTCGTTATGTATAAAGTATCTACGAATCGGTGACAAATCGACTCGTTGTTGCTTGGGATATACATTGATTTATCGGCACGCGTTAAACGATAGCCAATACGGATTCCATTAACGGAAAATTAAATCTTTCTATAATATACATTCAATTGTCACCTGTCTCGTGTCATAACGACCATTTATCCATCCAGCGTGGCAAGGAGGGCAACAAAAAAAATGGATGCACTTGAGCCTCGATCAAGCGAGAAGCCGCGTGTATATAATAATCACGCGTCTTTGTTGGCGCGTTTTACATAATTACAAACTCCCCGTACATTTTATGTATCGCTCTGGTCGTCGTCGTCGTCGTCGTAATTAATAATCGAAAAGCACACGCACACACACGGACACACACACACACACACTTTGCTATGGTAAACAGGCTTCGATCTCGAGAAAACCTTCTTTGCAGCACGCGTTATTCAATATTTTTTTTCCATATTATGCAGATATATCCGATTTCCACTCGTCGAGCACGTGCCTATGTACAAGAGACGATGCACCTATTATAAATGAAACTTAACTATTGAATAAGATGATTGTTGCTGCTGCGCGACCAAGTTCATCCGCGAGTAATTCGCCGACGCGACGATTGATACCGAATGTTCGATACCTGAAACTTTCTCGCGTACGCAAAAAAAAAGAGAGGAAAAATTGACTATATTCAAACATCACGACGATTGATTTATTGTTATCGGATCTTATCAAAAAACTTGCGTGCGTGTGTGTGTGTGTGTGTGTGTGTGTGTGTGTGTATTATAATATCGATATGGCTTGCGGTGTATACGCTTCATTGATTATGCGCGCGTGTGAAATGGTAAGAAAAAAAAAAGAAGAAGGAAGATTATAAAATAAATAAATAGTCGAAGGAAAAGGAAATATTTTGCTTCCATAGGAATTATACTACCTCCGTATTACACATCGGAAAAAAAACTTTAATTTTTCCATAACTTCTTCATCGGATATTCGTCACGTCGAAAATGTTTGATCAACCTTTCCTCGTAAGAATTTCGTGAGTCGTATACGGTGCGTCGCGCACGTGCGCGCGTACAAGATCGCATTATCAATAAAAAAGAAAAAGAGCGCACGTGATCAGTTAGATTCGTTATAGGCTTATAGATTGCGAATTATTATGCGCGTCTCCCGCGTGTGCGCTCTAATTGTGTGTCTGTGTGTGCATTTTTTTTTTATTATTTTTCAAATTAGCGTAATCATTGTGCCAATGCCAAATTCCGCGCAGGCTCGTATGGGTAATGATCAACCGGTAACACGGAGCACACACACACACACACACAGGTAAATACATTGTACGTATAGCTCGCGCGCGTGGCTATACACCAGACCAGTGCTTATAAAAGTTATAAGAATTAAAATATATAGATAGATATATATATAATGTGGGTCACGTAACGTCTCTCCTTTCTGCATATAAGAGTTCTGCAGCGAAGGCTAAAAGCCGATATAGTAGCAGGCGATGTGTCTATTATAATCGTAAAGCGAGCTTACTGATATTATTATGATATATATATCGTGTATGTTACGCGTAAGCTACACACAATATATCTGTGCAGCCGAGTATAAACGATATATACACGCGGTTACGTGCCATGTAAGATCCGAATCGTCCTTCGACGATCGGCGCGTTTTATTATCTCTGTGCTTTAGCTTTTCTTCTTTTTTTCTTCGATTTTTCTTCGATTACGATTTTTCGGGGGTGAAGCGAGAAATTTCAAAACACATTTCGCGCGAGATTGTGTATATTTATTGACAAATATAGGTCGATGATACGTGCGCACTTTAATATAGTAAGTAGCATATTTCGCAAAACGAGATATCCGCGCCTTTCGATCATTGCTCCGATAAGCGGGTGGCAAAAAAGCGGCTCGCACGAGAAATTTCGACGGTATACGCAGTGCGCGGCGCACTTTTCCATGCCGCGGGCCGATAAGAGGGATGCATTTACATACTCATTATCAGCTCTCGCGCGAGTTGAAAAAATGCTTTTCTAGATTAATGGTCCAGACACGTATTATATATATTCGCACACATTTGAAAATGTTGTAGATTATTACGCTGCGTAGCGAAATGTGCGAGCCGAGTGCATAAACGCGCCGACGCCGCGTACTGACAGCCCCGCTAAGAAAAAGCGAGAGAGAGAGAGAAACATGGAATTTTGAAACCTTGGTCGTGAACTATTGTGTTATTATAATATATATTGCTCGCTTTTATAATTACCGCCTGTCGGATCTACATACGAGAGGAAAAATTTATCGTGATATAATTTTTCTTTAGCCTTTTGAACATATAGATAGATCTGCTGCTGCTGCTGCTGTATGCTGCAATTAATGGTTGCGCTCGCGCTCGGCGATACACGTATAATTTTGTACACACGCGTGGATACAAATTTTTGCATCCGAAATATAAAAAAATACTTTGTAAAGTGTCGTTATATATGGGAGCAGTCGAGCCTAGCCGAGCCGAGATTTGCATTGGAAGTAATTAATATCGCGGCGAGCGCGCGACGTAACGACGAGTCGCTGTCGCCGATGATTATAACGAATCGATTTCAATATTATACGCTTATAAGTAAGCAATTTGTGGATTTTTTTTTGCTGCGCTAAAAATTTTGTAAAAACGCGTGTAAAGATAGCGAGATGGCGCAAGAGCGACTACATTATTAAATTCGTGTTAATATATAATATCATTTATTATTAAAACATTGTAAAAAAGATTACAGATACATTTAATGCACCTTATTAATAGAATATAAGTAATATATGCTTTGCGCGTTACACTGCGTGCAAGTGCAAAAGATATAATATATACTTCACAACATACAACCATTTTTCGTTTTAAAAAAAAGTACAAAGTTACGTGTACGTTAATTCCGAAGAATAATCACCGCAGCATAAATTGATTTACAATTGAATATAAACTTTTACAACTACCAATAAAATATAACAAACGTTCTTTCAATGAATTACGATCTATCATTCATGATTGGACGTGATCACATCTTAGAAGTTACTCGATTTTGGCTGTCTAATCTTAAATGTGAATCATTTCCGCTCTCTTTTACTCTGAAAAAGAGTATATATATGATTGTTTAACATAAATTAAAAAGGTGGTAACGGCTTACAAATTCTAAATGAATGTTATAATTGAAATGATTTGTTTGGCATAGGTTCGTTTCTTGAATTCTCACGGTTTTCAAGAACTGCAAATCGACGACATGACATTTTGCATTATTCTTACTTATCAATAGATGATATAACTTCGAATTTTACACCATTCTTGTTTAGCTCATCGATCAAGGATGTTTTGCAGAATGCGGCTCCTGGAGGCAATACACCACCACTGCAATGAAAAATAAAAATTATATTAAATTACATTGTTTACAATATAATCAAGCCATTATAACTATTCCATACTTGTCAGGCATTTTATCAGATTCTTTGAGAATGGTCACTGCAGATAACACAAGTGCCGTACAAGTAGCACCATAACCGGGATTTCTGCCACTGACTTTGGTGATCATTTCTTTATTTGGTGGCTCTTTGTGCTGATCAAGTGGGTCAGCTAATTTTTCAGACCATCCTTTAGCTACAAGTGTCACTGAGAACCAGGTATTCTCTATTGTTTCTTGTCGTGGATTTTCATGGCTGATAAGTCCAAGTGAAAACAATTTAGGATGCTGCAATTAAGACTTGTGTTAGACAAAATTATATTTGGATTGCAGCAATTTGAATAAATCATACTTTGAGTAGCAAGTTGCGACCAAATGAAGTTTTTGCGAGTGTGGCAAATATACCTCCAACAATGGCAGTTGCGATGAATTGGAAAAGAGTCCTGTAATGTTTATAAATGTGAGCATTTTGTAATTATTTAAATTTTCCATTAAATCAGATTTTAATTACTTGAAAGTCATGTAGGTCTGTACTTGGGCAGGTCTTTGTTTATAATTGTCATACAAATATCTTTGAGTCCTAAGACAAACTGCTCGATCAGAACCTGGGAAGGGAACAGAGTAACCTTCTGAAAGAGGTGTACAATGTACTGTTTTCCTGAAAATATCAAATGATCAATTAAGTATAATGGGAGAAAATCAATTATAGTTCCAAACAACTATTAATAACTTACTTTAACTTTAATTTAGGTTTGAATTCAGGTAACTTTTCTGGGTACAATTTTGAACGAAGAGCTCGAAGCTCATGCATATGGGCATATCCATACACTGCAGACTCCCATGTTCCAAAATTGATTCCAGGTCCTCGACCAGTTCCCCATAGTTTCAAATATGTTTCAACAGAGTTGATTTCTCCATTAAATTGATTCTGAGTATAAATTAAACCCATATCAGCTGGGATACTGTCTAATCCACATGCGCTGATAACATAGACTCCTGCTTCTCTAGCTGCCTTGTTGTAGTCTAACTGCATTTTTTCCATAAACTATTGAATGAAATTATAATCAGTTAGTCAATTTATATATTCTGACTAAATTTATATATTCTGACAAAATTCACCTGAGGTTCTCCACTGACATCCACATGATGTGTACCAGCAGCTATGCATGCTTTAATAACTGGCTCTCCATAAAATCTATAAGGACCACAACAATTTACCAGAACTCTAGCTTGTTCAGCCATTTTTTTCAAGGACTCTTCATTTTTCAAATCAGCAATTATGACTGGAATATTTTCTGCAATAATATAAAAGATTAGAATGATGTAAATATGATTAAACTCTAATAATCAAGCTTAACGCTTACCAGATTCTGGTGCATACTCTTTCAAAGCTGCGTCCAAAGCATCCTTGCGTCTTCCAGCGATACCCCATGTAAATTGATAATCTTTAGCTAAGCGCTGAGCCTCCTTTATGGTGTTCTTTCCTGTGAAGCCTGTAGCTCCAAATATAACAAGATCCAAGCGTTCAGCAGCCATTCTGAAAATAGGCATCACTTACAGATGTAAAGTTAAATTTTTTTTCCTGCAATGATTTTAAAAAAAACATTGTTTTATCTATTGTATGAACACATTTTGATGATGTTTGTTTCGGGTATAACGTAAGCCCCGAACATCGATACGGTCAAAAAATAATGCAATCACGAAGCTATCACAGATAACAGCTCTCCTCTGAATACACTTATGTAAATGTCACAGAGAGAACGATACTATACAGCGAAGCGCAAAATTTACAAGAGCAAATGATTCATTTTTTTTCTTTTTTTTTTTCGAGAATTCATCGAAGGCAAAAATACGAGCTTTTCCACAAATGCAAGTTTTAATTGCAGCTCGCGGTAGTTCGAACAAAAATAATGAAAAAAAGAAAAACTCGCTTGGAAGTCGTGCGGTACGTAAACTACAAATATACGCGAGATGAATAATTATACAAAAACTACTTGAAGAGCGAGACTAAAAATAGAGATGTTAATAGAGACACGATCTTTGATCGGTATTAGACTGAAAATTGAGTATATGCAGTCTCAGGATACGTGTGCAGAAATTTGCCTTTCACTTCTTTCCTCTCTCGTGAGCTGCGAGTATAATTGTTTATACCAAATCCGTACAGCTCTTCCGGTGCACCTAATCTACCTACGTATTTTTTTTTTTACATATTTTCGCAACACGCTTTACGTCCTACGAGTTTTTCTATGACACATCAGGCACGCGCATTCCTGTAAATTAGATAATTAGCGTATAATTGGACAACATTCACACGGAGGTCGCATTGAAACGAGCATACGAGTTGCAACGCCGAAAAAGCCGGCACAACGCCAAGTTTTAACCGGCGAACGAGTGAGCGTGTCATTTATAATCGCAATAATCGTATCCTATCCTTATGCCACGATACGAATACAAAAATCCGAGCACAATGTGCGATAATAAATATATCCTCTGCATAAAGAAAACTGCAGCGATACGCTCGCAATGACACATCACCTTTCTTCGCATATACTTATATACGATATACGAGGAACGGATAATGTGGCATCGTCATGGTATATAAAGGTGAAAAAATAAATTATGCGTTATATATAGGTACATACTTACTCGCTTAATGTGTGCAGTATATGTGTGTTTGAAGAGAGGAGAGAAAGAGTGAGGCCAATCTACGAGACGAGCTGTCACCCAACGACTGAAAGTATAATTTTTACCAAGGCGTTTTATCGGAGCAGCAGCGGCAGCGGCATAATGTCACACAGTCGCCGGCACTCATCACTCACTGGCATAAGTATATATAATATATAGGTATAGGTATATAGTTCGTTGTGTTTACCTACGCAGTTCGGTCACCAGCGCGCATTATGCGCGACGGAGGTTAAAAACAATATACATAAAATATAACCGGCGTGACATCTCTCGATCCTTCGATGATACCGAGTCGCGCGAGGCGACGTTTTTAAAATTCGGAGTACGCAAACGTGCAAGGCAAAATCTGCGTTATCGATGGCTGCTCGAGAAGAAAGTACACGACGACTCTTGGAACTGCGAGGATCTCTTTTGCCAAGTATCTTATGTATGTAAATCTCGTTTCGATCGCAGCGAGGCAAGTTTACGTGGAATTCATCATATTATATTTTTAAAATCCTGTCCAAAGCTTCGACGAAGGGAACTTCACCGTCCGACGAGAATATGGAAATATCGCGTTTGAATGGTTTCGTTTTTAGCACGCGAGAATGTTTCAATTAGCGTCGATTAAACGTATTTTAGACTCGTTCGATCGATGGAAAAAAAAGAAAAGCTGTACAAGGGTAGATATTCGCAATTCTGCAGTATTTATTTTGACGCTCCTTTGACGCAATTGCACTTCAAAAAAAGCAGCAAAAAAAATCATCACTCACCCATAGACACGTGTTTACCCTGCAGCTACACCTACCCCCGTTTACAGGAGCGCCTACGAAAAAAAAGCTCTAGGTATATGTAGGGGCGTGTTTGTATCGCGCGACTCTTAATTGTTCCCAAAGCGCCGCCGCCGCCACGATCCAAGGGCTCTAATTAACGAGTCAACGTAAAAAACGGTTCGATTGCGTGTTTTTTTGTCACTCACTCTCTCTCTTTACCATTGAACGAGAAACGCGCGACAGAATCGTACCTATATAATATACCCTATAGGCAAAAGCATTTTTTCGATTATACATGCATAAATGCAAAATCTTCGAGGGTAAATCGAGACAACTTCAAAGATGCGCGATACATAAAATTTGTTCGAAGTACTTTGCGAATACACAATGAATATTAGTTATGTACATTTAGTTTATTACAACACCGCAATGCATGTATAATAAAAATATATATCACAAAAGCTCCACTCGATGCTATGCGACACACCTGCTCGTTGCAGTAGGTATATGCTATTAGACACACAGAGACAAGGAACTTTGGCCCGCAAGACCGAGGGGGGTTTCCAACAGGACAGGACCCTCTCTATATACGCACATACCAGAAATATCCGTTGCCGTCGTATACCGAACACGCACATTTATTACTGCGTCGACCAAAAGGGAATCAAAGAATGTGCATTACACGTACATACAGCCAAGTTTTACGGGGAGGTAAAATATGTTTCATTATCGTACGAAGCACACCGTGTATAGTAGGCAAACAAAGTGAACATTTCACGATACACAACACGAGTCGCATGTTCTTCGATCTTTATATATTATGAGCGCACGACAAAACGAGAGAAAATAATAATAATATCTTCGTGCCGCGGGGGATGAATCCGATCGTGTGGTATTTTTTAATTTCAATGCAAACACACAACAACAACAACAACAATTGTATAGTAGTTAATATAAACGTGCGCCGTACAATAATCCAAGTAGATGGAGAATCGGTCACGCTTCTCTCCATTGTCTGGCGCGCATCGTGCGTGCCAATAGTCAATGGCGATGCGCAAACGCAAATACATACGTTCACCTATCCCTCGCATATGAACACACATTAATACGATAAATTGTATTCGCGGTTCGCGGTATCATTAAAAAGTAAAAAAAAAATTACAGACCAGCCATCGCGAGACTGCGAAGTTGTAAGGCGGTATATGTATTTAATGCGCTATGTATGCGAGTTTGCACGCATGCGATGGGCAGTAAACAAACACACGCCTCATTGTGTGCCGCGAACGATCGCATCCACTTAAAACGATGAATCGCCACACATGCAAACGCATACGAGCACTTGTAATATTATTGCATTTAAAACTCTACACGCAGACCACTTGCTCAAATTGTCATAACCGTATATGATACAAATTTTGTGCACATTCATATACGAGAGAAAAACGAGTTAATCGAACGCTCGAAAGAGAGAAAGAAAGAGAGAGAGAGAGATAGGGTAGGTTTTAATTGCTATACATACCTCGTATTCCACATTCATTAGCATAGCATATACTGTGTGACATGTAACCCTCTTCTGCAGTTCGCCAATAATTTGGGAATTAGAAGCCGGCAAATGTACATACGCGTGTAGTACTAGTACTATACAGCTGCACACACGCCGGCCGCCGCTTCACAAGGTATATGGCATGCTGCTGCTGCTGCTCCCGTAGTGTTATATATGAAATAACACACGCGCGCGCAAAAAAAGGGCGGGGGATCGAACGAAACGAAACGAACGAACGAACGGCATGCAGCAGGCGCGAACGACGACCCGAGCCGAGCAGCAGTCAGTCGGTGGTTTACCTTCGTCGCGTTCGCGCGCACGCATCTCTTCTCTCTCTCTCTCTCTCGCTCTTTGTCAGAGGCAGCGGTAAAAAAATTGCCGTATATACTACGCATCCCCTCGTGCGTACAAGTTGTGATTTTGCAGATTCACCGTATTATTGTCGTTCGTCTTCTTCTTCTTTTTTTTCAAACGTTACGAAGTTGTGTGTGTGCGTGTGTTAGTGTGCGTACCCTCGCTGTGGGGGAAGCAAAAATAAAATAGAAGAAGAGCGAATCGTTCTTCTTGCGAAAAGTTTTGTGTCGAGTTTTAGTTATTTTCGTGAAATCCGCATAGATACGTTACTCTTTTCGAGTCCAGAAGAATTTTCCACACGCTGGTAGCGCGTTGCATACTTACGACACTCATGGATACACCAAAAACGTTGAAAGGTAAGCGATTTGAAAATTCGAACGTCCTTTCGAGACTGCGCCTCGATCGTCGCGTTCGATACGAAGTTTCGAATGCATAACATTCGTCGCCTATTCGTTGTTCTCTGTCTTTCTTTTTTGTGTAATGTATACCCGGCTCGACTCGCGGTCGCACGTTACGATAAATTTGCATGTGAATAATCGGAGCAACAATGAGACCCACTTACGCGCGCGCGTTAACGTTATACGCCGAATCGACTCGGTTGTCGCGTTCGCGTTTTGCGTGCAATAATTATTATTAAAATGCCACGCATGTGTAGAGGAGGAGCTCATCATCCGCGCAGGGCTCCGCGAACGAGTATTTCGCACGATCCCATTTAGACAACGCTATACGATAAAGATACACGTTTTCACACGCTGCAGCCCAGTGGTATAGTAACGTCGAGTTCTTAATCGTCTCGTTCTACTATTATAAATGACGATGTACCACGGAGTAGTAGAGAGAAGAGTAGTGAGAGAGAGAGACGAAAAGTCGAGCGTGTGCTTTGTATAAAGTAACAATACGACGAAAGAGAGGCCCATTAGTTCGCGCGCGCGACGTGATGCCTCGATGTACTGTCTGCAGCAGCACTCGCAATGTGTTCGTGTTTTACTCGGTGCTGCTGCTGCTGCTGCTGCTGCTGACTGGAAAAGCGTCGCGCAGTCGCGAGAAACGATACCGATTCTTATTAATCCGGCCGTTGACTTTCGCGTGGTTATTATGTATAATAATAATCTGTTATTAAACTACAGCGACGCGAGAGTCTCGGGCTCCAAATTAATCGAGTCTTGTGTGTTATTCTACGTCACATGGAGCTAGATTTCTTTGACGAATGGCAAAATAAAAGAGAGAAAGAAACTATTTATACATAAATCGAGCGTCGTCGAGCGGTCAATAGCGCGCATCGGTGCACTTGACGTTTTGCCCGGGACGCTTTGCACACAAGGGTTTCATCATTACGTCGGTACACTGCTTCGTAGTAGCATATATAATTATATAGTATCTCACGCTTGTGTATTGTATAGGTTCCCTCCCTCCTCCTCTCGAGACTCGTTTAATTTAATTCATCTTAATTAAAAAAATAAATAAATAAATAAATAAATAAAATCCAATCAGCTCTCGGTCTGTTCTCCACGCATATATGCTGCTCCAATCGCGGCGGCGTCGTCGACTTGTCTCATATAACACGATTAGCCGGTTATCTCTTTTGCGCGCGTTGCCGAGTGCAGTTTTCAAATTTATTCATTGGATTTTCCATCCTTTTTTTCCCTGTTCAGATGACTTATATTTATTTTTCGTTCGTTTGTTAATTCATGCTGTGTCGAACGTCGACTCTGTGAAGCGAAAAAGTCCCAAAGTAATAGCGCATCTGCGAGATCTTGAAAAGCAGCCCGAAATTGTCCCAAGATGAGGTTTATGGTCTCGTATTCGATCTTGCAACGAGAAAGAAAGGCAACGAACAAGTTTCGCGCATATTATAGGTGACGTTGGCTAAAATGATATATTAGCGTGTGCATATCTCACGTTTTTTTGAGTTCCTGGACCTGGAAGTCAAACTAGCCTTGCAACAAAACTACCCTTTGGTTCTGTGCTTCGCGACGCCGATCTTGCAGATCTCGTACTATAGGCGCCATTAACGCATTATAATCGATCATCCCGATCTAACGTTTACGATTTATTATATTATTGCATACTATTAGTCGCCCCACAGCGACGACACTCCTCTCTGCGCGACACATTATACACAGCAACATCTATAGCGACGACGACGACGAGTTTTAGTTCATGCACACGAGTGCAAGAGTGTGTTAAAAGGGCAAGAACCTTTTGCTCGTATTATATGTGACGCGCGCGTGCGAGGAAGAGACGAGCTCTTTCATAACGCGTGTGCGCCGAGAGTATATTATTTCGCTGCTTTCTCGCTCGCTTCTCCTTTACCTGTTTCTTTGATTTTTTTATACTTTTTCGTTGTAATATACTTGCGCGCGCGCGCGCGTGTGTCGCGCCTTTTGTTACGAAACTCCGCGCGCTCGCGCGTGTTTATTAGTGTAAGTGCACTGCTCTCTCTCTTACTTTGGCACGCTTTTTTTTAGTATGTACTTTATGTACAGAAAGATGCTCATTGCGGCGCGTATAACTCTCTCGAAAATCAAGGCTAAACTCGGGCGAAAATTTATGGTGCGCTGTTTTATTTTTTCTTTCGCGATAATGGCACACGTTTTATATATTGTTTTTGTACTAACACGGCTTAGTACGTGACTGCGAGCTCGGAAACCAATGGAAATCTTTCATCGATGAATTGGCAATGGAAACTCTCTCGTTATCGCACGACGTGCTGCCAAGACGTGCGAGGCTTGGAAAAAAATGAAAAGAATAAGAAGAAGATGAATGAATAAAAATAATGGAAATTACTGTACGAGATTGGTATAGGGATGCTAAGTTTACACAGGCGCGTTCGGCCGCGAGAGAAGAAAAAACTGCCGTACATCTTTGTTAGGCTTGAAATATTTGGATATTAGCGCCTGACGTGATGGTCCATTGGCTCTCTGCGAGTATTTGCTTTATTTTACTTTTCGCGCATTACTAGCGATTTAATATAAAAACACGTGCCGAGAGACGCGGGGGAAAAGTTTATAAAAAAAAGTTACACCGCCGAGGACTTATACTTGGCACGTATTGTTCCCAGAAGTTAGGAAATAACACGTTGAATGTGTTATAGTTCAGGATCGAAAAACTAAAATAGCCCACGATCAAATTGTTTTGGTAAAATTTCGAGTAAAACTGTACGAACTATCGGCGTTTATAACTTAACATACAATAATTCTCATGGGAACTTCGGCGAAGTGTTAGAGTTTTATTATTTCGTTTCATAAAGTGCACGTTTCTTATGAGCTTATTTCTACCATGAGTAAGATACTCTTATAACAATTTTCTCTAAAAACAATTTTTTTTTGTTATCGCTGCGTAGGGGAAAATCTTAAAAATATAATGCGCAACTGGGTCGGTTATCAATCTTGAGCCCTCGTTGCGTAAAGCACTACTTTAATTTGAAACTTCTTTACGTGCATTGGACAATGAGAAGTCAATTTAAGCTCATGAAAAACGAGGAATAATACACTTCTCAGAGACAGAATCATTCGAACGCTGTCATTGACCGGAGTGTTGCTTCTAACGTGCACGTGGAACTCGTAAGTTTTTGGCTCCTTTAACCTACTATAGTCAGATTGACTATAATATAATAGTAGTTCTCGATACAAGGGCCATAAGTAACACTTTTTGACACGGCGTAGTTGAGGGCCCGAGCGCAGCGAGGGTCCTAATAGCTGGGCCGAAAAGTGTCCCCTATGGCCCGAATATCGAACAACATTTTATAGTACTGTGCAAAGTTCACATTTATGCCCCCTTTTCCGAGCCATGAGTCGTACTTCTGGTAGCGCGAAGTGAGGTTAGCGCACGAGCACATGCGAGTGTGATGTGAACGCAGCGGTGCCAGAATGTGTGACTTATGTCACAGAGAAGCGTGCCATAAATGTGAACTTATGCCTTACAGTGCTATAAATAATATAATGACTCGTGAAGAATATTTCTTGTCAAATATACACTATTGAAATTATTTGTAGAAAAAAACTAATGGTGGATAAAGCATATTTCACAAACTCTATAAATTCACAACTTCACAAATTTACTTCGGTAATTAATGACGGAATTTAATTTAAAATTCAGTTGCTATGAATTGATTTTACAATATTTTACATCAGGGGAAAACGGGGTGTGTTAGTTGGCATGTGAGGTAAGTTAGCCAAAGTGTGATAAGTGATGATTCTGCTCGGTGGAACGCCGGAATTCCTACGTTTCGCCACTCTGTTGAACCCGACACAATTAACGCTCACCTAATATTTATGCGCTGATAGTAATACTTTTTTTTTATATTATAGTGCTTTTACCAGCTAGGGCATCTGCACTTACTTTATTTCAAACGAATTAACTATTTACAATTTATAAAAAAGAAAAACAAAATTAATTACAAAATAGTATAGAGTATTCATTGATACTTGATCTTGGGTCTTCGCGAACTGACTGCCATCATCAGACTCGCACTCCCAGCCCGATGAAGAAACCGCATAACATTGTGCAAGCCTCAATGGTTGGGCGAGCGATCAAGCGCTTCACCTTCAGCGGAACCCGATCCTCTTCAGTCTCTCGAGCAACACCTTCCTCTGCGTTTGGTAGAATCTGCAGTCCCATAGAATGTGGAACTGGTCATTAGTCCAGTTGACTCATCCAGGAGTTGTTTTCACCAGGACATGAGTCACGAGTCCAGTTGGCTAATGGCTGGTCATGAGTCCAGTTGACTCATCCAGGAGTTGTTTTTACCCGAGCTTAGCGAGGGTGCAAAGACTCCTGGATGAGTCAACTTCCTCGCAGACTAGTTGCAAACGATATTTTTTAATTCTGCTTGCGAGAAACTAGGGTTTTCTGACGCTTCAAGGTTATAAAACCCGTGTTTCGCGCACGCAGTGTTAAAACATTTAATTCGCGCTCTCGAGCATTCTGTCCCGTCCTCCCCGTGTCATAGCATTTCTATTGATGTAGTTCAATTAAAATATTTAATTAAATTGTTAATTTTTTTAAAACTAATGGAAAAATGTCTCATCGCATTCGCAATGCTGCCATTTACTTGTGATTTAAATTAGGGATTTTTTAGCATTCGCCAAATGATCCGTTTAGGCAGTATGGGAAAATAAAATGAGTTAAAAAACACATTTTATTTCCGTTTTTCGGCAAAGACTGCCGAAGTCATTTATTAGCAACGTTTCGTCGTATTTTTAACGACCTCATCAGGCTATATAGAAAATTATGATATTAATAATAGATGACAAATTAATATATAAAAATTATTTTAAGATCAAACAGAGATATTAAGTTACACACCTTATTGCGAGGGAATAGCGAGTAAAACTAATACATTAGGTAAATAGGA